TGGCGCGATCTCAGCTCACGGCAACCTCCACCCCCCAGGCTGGAGCGCAGTGGCGCAATCTCGGCTCACGGCAACCTCCACCTCTGGAGTTCAAGTGATTCTCCTGCCTCAGCCTCCCGAGTAGCTGAGATTACAGACATGCACCACCACAACTGGCCATGTTGGCCAGGCTGGTCTCGAACTCCTGACCTCAAATGACCTGGCCACCTCAGCCTCCCAAAGTGCTGGGATTACAGGCATGAGCCACCACGCCCAACCATCATTTCTTTATTAATTCTAAAACTCTTGGTGCGGTCCAGTGTGGTGGCTCATGTCTGTAATCCCAACACTTTGGGAGGCTGAGGCAGCCAGGTCACTTGAGGTCAGGAGTTTAAGACCAGTCTGGCCAATGTGGCAAAATACCATTTCTACTAAAAACACAAACATTAGCTGGGCATGGTGGAATGCCTGTAGTCCCAGCTACTTGGGAGGCTGAGGCAGGAGAATCACTTGAACCTGGGAGGCGGAGGTTGTGGTGAGCCAAGACTGCACCACTGCACTCCAGCCTGGGGGACAGAGTGAGACTCTCTCAAAAAAAAAAAAAAAAAAAAAAAAAAGACCTTGGTAGGAATGAGGTGCATATTATAGGTTAAGTAACTTTATGTTACTTAATAGGTATGTAAGGCCAGAATCTTTCAATTTTCCTAGCCAAAATTTTGTCCTGCAAAATGTTACATTCAAAAAGCCAAATCTATACACTATGCTGTTTTATTAAAAAATTTGCTATGCTCTTTTATTAAAAAATTTAAAACACTCAATACACTTATTGAAATGGTAAACCCGGCCGGGCGCGGTGGCTCAAGCCTGTAATCCCAGCACTTTGGGAGGCCGAGGCGGGTGGATCACGAGGTCAGGAGCTCCAGACTAGCGTGGGCAATACGGTGAAACCTCATCTCCACTAAAATATAAAAAATTAGCTGGGCGTGGTGACATGTGCCTGTAATCCCAGCTACTCAGGAGGCTGAGGTGGGGGAATCGCTTCAACTCAGGAGGCAGAGGTTGCAGTGAGCCGAGTTTATGCCACTGTGCTCCAGAGCAAGACTGTCTCCAAAAACAAAACAAAACAAAACAAAACAAAAGAAGGAACACATCTAATCTAAAGACAGTTATCATCCTTGGCTTGCAGAACTAAAAACAGAAAAAAAGCCTCATCAGGCCAAGACCTGGACCTGAGAAAACTCTGTCCCAATAATATCCATTGTAACGTTCTAGACGTGAATCAGGCCATATCTAAAAATAAACAAAAAACTATGACTTTTCTTAAACACACCTCATTTGCGTTCGAAATTATATCCGTGAAATCAGCTCTCATCAATACCTTAATTTTTTTTTTTTTCCATTTCACATGTGGAACACAGAGAACAGAACAATAAGCCAGATTCTGAAAGACACACTAATGACCAATACTAGGGCTTCGGAAGGAATGGAAAGGCAGTGAGGGTGGATATAGGTGAACGAACACGTCAGAATACAACGCACGACATATTTAAATAGAAACTGCTGGAAGCAACTCAGATGCACGGCGGACTTAGCTGGACCTGGCGTCGGCTACAGGATGGCTGGCCCACAGACACGCACCTCTCCAGACCATGAGGGCGCTCCACGTACCTTCCACTGCCTTGACCTTCTCCTCCAACTCGCGTTTCCTCTCTTCCTTTAGCATCTGCTCCTGCTCCTTCTTCTGCACTGCTAGAAGAATCTGACGCTCCTCCTCCTCCTCCTCTTTGCGCTTTTGTTTTTCTATTCTGCTCAGCACAGGAGTCTCCTGTGAGGAACCAATGAGCACACCCTGTCAGTACACAACCACGCAAGACCAGCTCTTTGGTCTCGGTTAAGATTCAATTCACCGAATGCAACATACTCAACAACAAGTATCAGCTATCTACTGTTAGCTAGGGGCTTTATATCACAACAAGCTGACTTTGCTATCTGGAGAATACGTTTGGATACATATAAGCGTTATAACATAAGGGACATTCAAAACAGGGTAAAAGTTTTGTGTCCTACAATTTATATTATTTGTGGTATTTAGGTGATCATCTTATGGATAATTTACTGGAGAGAAGAGAAATTAGGGCAGTTCAGAGATAAGCATTTTTTTAAGAGTATATCTGATAAAGTGAAGTTTTAAAAAGCACCTTATCTAAGTTTACGAGGATGAAACACAGTCACTTGAGCGAACACAGTTCCCCCCCTTTTTTTTGAGGCAGACAGAGTCTTGCTTTATCACCCAGGCTGGAGTGCAGTGGTGCAATCTTGGCTTACTGAAACCTCCCCCTCCTGGGTTCAAGCGATTCTCCTGCCTTAGCCTCCCGAGTAACTGGGATCACAGGTAACTGCTACCACGCCTAGCTGATTTTTGTATTTTTAGTAGAGAGGGGGCTTCGCCATGTTCATCAGGCCGGTCTCAAGACTTCTGACCTCAACCTCCCATACAGGTGTGGGCCACTGTGCTCAGCCCAGAGCATGGTCTCTTAATTTCAATAATGTGCATGAATTAAAACTCTTAACTTTTACGCTTTACAAGTAAAATGATGAATAAAATTGGGGTTCTGATGGGAAGGGCCACTGTTTTGGCTTAAGGTGTAGAAAAGAGATGAAGGAGGCCACATGGAAATTCACAAACTACCCAAAGATTGGCTAGCCTTTCCATAAGATTTTCAATTCAAACATTAACAAAGGTAAGTAATTGCTGGCGATGTGATTACCTAAGAAATCTAAAAAAAAAAAAAAAGGTAAGGCAAGCAAAGGCAAACAGGACTATTACTATCATAATTTATGAAAGGTTTACAGTGCTTATTCGCAACCCCTCCCCGCCAACAAATGGGTTCTGAGCCACTCTGCAGCCCAGGACAGGAGCTGGTTTCCTCCCTTCCTTCCTCTCCCTTCTGCCCACCGCTCCCCAGAGCTGGGACTACAGGCGCCTGCTACCGTGCCAGGCTACTTTTTGTATTTTTAGTAGAGAAAGGGTTTCACCACATTAGCTAGGCTGGTCTTGAACCCCTGACCTCAGGTGATCCGCCTGCCTCATGCCTGCTGGAATTACAGGTGTGAGCCATCGCACCTGGCCAAAGTTGTTTGTTTTCAATTTCTTCCCTCATCTTTTGTGTTGATGTGAAAGCTAAAACTTTTTCCTTTTTTAAAAATTATTTTTGAAGAGGTAGTTAACTGGTTCCTGTAATAGACTGTACGTGTAAGTTGCACAGAGACAGAAAAATGAACCAGGTGCCAACAGAAGGAGAATTCACATTACCCTTATAGAAAAAATACTAATGATCACATTTTGTGTGAAACATAATAGAAAGGGAAAGCTTTCTTTAACATATCTTTTCAGTAGGGAGAAGACCTAAAGATCTGTATCAGATACATTTTCTTTTTTCTTTTTTTTTTTTTTTTTAGCTTTTTCTGGAAAACACTGTATTAGACTGCTCTGGGTACCATAACAAAATACCATAGACTGAGGGGCTGACACAACAGTAGTTTGTTTCCTCATATTTCTGGAGGCTACAAGTCACAGATCAATGCCTGGTAGGGTCAGTTTCTTTCTGGGGGGCTCTCTTCCTAGCTTGCAGATGGCCGCCTTATCACTAAATCCTCACCTAGCCTTTCCTTGGTGTGAGTACATGCCCGTGGGACAAGAGAGAGAGTAAGCTCTCTCATGTCTCTTCCAGTAAGAACACTAATCCCAGGCGGCAGGGCCCCACCCCTACGACCTCATTTAACATTAATTACTTTCTTCCTTCAAACACAGCCATACGAAGGTGGTAGGCCTTAGAGCCACAGCGGCGGCACAACGTGTG